GGTGGGATGCTCTAAGTGAAGCATCCAGGGACCCGCGGATAAAATACTCGTGTCATCAGAAACGTGCCGAGATCGGGTCTTGGGCCTGTAACCGCTCTCACATAGCGAGCACGCAAGCTGGCATTTCTCTTCAAGTAGTTTTTCTTAGTTGAAGAAATGATGAGCCTCTGCCACGTTTTTATTCAGCAACCGCTTGCTTTCATAGCTGTGTTTTTATATCAAAGTTTTCATGCATTTGGATAACAACCAGTCATTGGATGTTTGTGTTTGGTGTGCAAAATTTTCTTGCAGATTCATCAGTAGGTCATTTATATTTCTGTAGGTACCTCGAGGAGGCTGACTGCCTTGTCAGGAAAGTGTTCTCAGGTTTCAGTTTACAAGGATGCCCATAAGCCATGAATCAGTCGGCTTTAATACTAAAAAATACTCTTTAAGTGTTGTACTCTTTAAGCGTTGGTTCTTCCTCTTTGGTAGGACCAGACCCATTCTGCATTCTTCTCAGTTTGGTTTTTGTTCTCTAGCATCACTTCTTTTGCTGTAGGATGGGGTCTTCAGGTTTAATACAGAGCAGGTTAACGCTGCTTTGCCTCTGACAGAAGAGAAGAACAAGCCAAACCACGCTTCTTCCATTGCCTGCTCATTTGTCAGTCTTTAATGCTCCTTCTGTGTGATTTGCTTTCTGTAAATCTTTATCTTTTTTTTTTTTATGTTACTCCATGTATTTCAAGCAACATCTTTCCTCTTGTGCGTGCAGTGTTGTTTTGTTGCTTAAGGAAGTCCAGTGTTATAATTTCTCCATTGCTGACTCCATTTGACTTCCGACCTCCGTCGCACAGCTTTCTGTCTCTTGTCTGCGCCATTTCCGAAGAGTGCCCTGCATGCAAGGCGTGTGGTACAGGCAGGGTTCTTTGCAGGCCAGTGGAGAGGAGTCAGGACTGTGCTGAGTTTAGTTGTGTAAAAATGTAATTTTGGTGAAGCTGGTGAGCGTTTTCAGTCTGGTCCGTGCTGTGCACTTCCCTTTTTGTTATCATCATCTGTGGTGTAACCTAAGTGTGAGTGTAAGCCTTTCCTTTGATACATAGGCAAGTTGTGTATCAGCTGAACCTACTGCTTTTTAAAATGGCATTACTTGTATTCAGGCATGTCAAAAGGCTTTGGGATTAATAATATGCACATTTATTAATCAGAACTCTGTCTTTTCACTTCGGAAGTGGAGACATCGACCCAGGACCCCAAACCAGTATGGCTAAAGTGTTGTTCCATGTACCCGGTGTGCATAACTCTGTATTTTTGTTTCTCTTCTCTAGATGATGAAAGTCACACAGAATCAAAGCTTCAGCATGAACAAGATAAATCAAACTCCCTTCCCATTCCTTCAGTTTCCAAGCGAATTGTGCTTGGTGATTCTGTCTGTAATATGGCAGGCACGACTGAGCACGCAGGCAGCATGGTAGACCTCAAAGGAGATAAGGACTTGTTCAGTAAAACTACAGAGCTTCTCAGTGAGGGTACAAGTGAGCTCCGTCACCGTAATAGAGGGGAACTGCCACCTGAAGCTGCACCACGGCCACCTAGACATGGATTAGACCAGTACTTATCCAGATTTGATGAAGCTCTGAAGCTGAGGAACCAGCTGATGAATGAAAAGCCAAGCCAAGAGAACGGGAATGCAGTGGAGGAGTTTGACTCTTTCCGCATTTTTAGATTGGTGGGGTGTGCTCTGCTTGCCATCGCAGTCAGGGCTTTTGTGTGCAAGTACTTGGTGAGTTCAGGGAAACAAACAATCCTGTTCTGTTTTGCTAGTGTACTGCAAACTTACAGCGAAATAGTCTTTATCTGGGGCTGAAGTCTATCGGTAGTGACCGAGTTGTGAACTTCAGGCACTCTTTACATTTGCAACAACTGTATAAAAGCTAAAAAAACCCGAAACCTCTGACATTCTTTGAGATGATAACCAAGTCAGAATCTGTGTTATCTAACACAGCCACTATATAACAGCATAGAGCAACACGCATTTGGTCCGCAGCGTTTGAGGAACAGAAGTGCTGGAATAGTTGTTGCAGCTTAAGTCCCCTGCAAGTTTATTCCCATCTTTGTGAGCATGAGTCAACTGCTCTTCTAGTTTGGAGGCCACAAAAGAATAATAGAGTAAAAACAATAATAGTTGTCCCAAGATAAGCAGATCCTACTCATTTATCAGTCTTCTGAGTAAAGTGGTTCCTCGGTATTCCAGGTGTCTGCCTTGTAGAGAGCCTGCCACCTCCTGGATCCTGGGACTCATTTGTACACGCTGCACTACGCTTCTGCAATTTCAGGTTTTTAGGCTCAAAGACAGTAAGGCAGAACCTTATTTTTGACATGTAACCTGTCTACTTAGTTTGTAGTATTCAAGAATACTGTTGCTATTGTCCACAAATTATTTTTTTTACCTACCTAATTTTATGACTTGGGAAGCATTACATTTCTGTGTTTTCTTAGCTATTACTTTTGACCAAGTTAATTTTTGTATATTCTTTTCTGTTCCTTCAGTCAATATTTGCACCATTTCTTACTCTACAACTTGCTTACATGGGACTGTCCAAGTACTTTCCAAAGGTAAAATATTTTTTCAGAATTGGATTAATTTGAAATGTTTTAAATTTAAACTTGTGCTTAGATTGTTATTGTTTTGGGATCGATGCATGTGAAGTATTCATCCCTTGTTTTAAACTGTAGAATTGAGTTACCAAATGCCGATAGTTTCTACTTTTTAAAATTCCCAGATTTAGTCCAAATCTTTTTTAAAGTTGCTGTGAAAATGTGAACTAGCAACTTGTTTAGCTATAGCCTAATTAGAAGCCTGTGACCAGGAAAGCCAGGTAGTTCTCATGTATTTAGGAAACTTTGCTTTTCTCCCAGACCATGCTCTTCTGTGGTTACTGTTCGCTGTCAACAGCTGTTTTGCATCTTGATACCTGGACAAAATTTGGGAGGATGCTTGTTACAAAATGACACAGTCCTTGGATTTTAAGGGCTCTGCATTCCATTGCTAGTATCAGTTTGAGTGGCAACTTGAAATGAGACATTTATTTGTGTGTGAAACTTGCTGCTTATTAACACGATTTGGTATATCACTTGCTTTATATATTTACACCAGTTAATTGTGCTGAAGTATTTGTTTGGTTGATGATTTTGTCAGGTCTACAGTGCAAAGTGGGATTGAATGAGCCTCAATCTGTAGTTGAACTTTTGCATTTAAAAAGGAATAATAGATTAGCTGTAGAAAATCAGAATAAATCAGCAGTTCTTTTGTAGTTAAGTATATCACTGAAAACTAAACTTCATAGTAGTCATTGTAAGCTGACGTGTCAAAACACAAAACAGTAGAATTAGCTTTAGACTTGCATTAGCTCATCTGCTAGCTCGTTTTGATCTTGTTTCTGCTGGTTTTAAAATCAGCTCTTCAGTTTCAGAATCTAAAGATTCTGAAGGTGGTTCCTTCCTACAGCTTGCTTTTATTGCACTTATATCCAGATGAGCTCAATCAGCTTGTTATCCTTCAATATTCTCTCATGAAACCTAGATTCTTGAAAGTTTAATTTAGATTGGATTAAATTAAGATATCCAGTATCATCAAATTACCAAATTTTTCCACCACTATCATCTTTTCCTGCCTGTCAAACTTTGCATCCTCAGGATTCGTCATCTTAAGGACAGAAGAACAGCTTTCAGAAGGGTTTTGGGGCATTTCTGAGTTCAGGGGATAAAACTGCCAAATGGAGTCATACTAAAATAGAAAGAAACAGTTAGTTTCCAATTCTAAATAATTTTTCTGTGTTAGAAAAGTAACAGTATTTTTTGCCAAGTAATGCGATGAGATTAATCCTGTTCTGCCAGTGGGGATGCCTGGCTTGCCTTCTTACACCCAGGTTGCCTGTGCCTGGGACTCTTCCCAGTCACGCAGAGGCTGTTGCACTGCCCCACTTTACAGCCCGCTTGGAGTGCCAGCAGGAAGTAGGCATAATATCTGTGATGAATTTTATTTGCTAAGTGTTGTGAATGCTGGAGCGTGTCTGGAGAGAATCAGTCCGAACCTGTTACTCTTACCGATGAATTTGGAATATGCCTGGCTGTGTGTGAAATTGGCACAACGTTTTGTGACATGTAAAGCAGAATTGGATTGTAACAGAAGAACTAACGTAATACTGGTTGGTTTGTTTTTTGGTTTTTTTCTTTTAGTGTGAGAAGAAGATGAAAACAACAGTATTAACTGCTGCTCTTTTACTGTCTGGAATCCCTGCAGAAGTGATTAGTCGCTCCATGGACACCTACAGCAAAATGGGAGATGTTTTCACAGACCTTTGTGTCTATTTCTTTACTTTTATCTTTTGCCATGAACTTACTCTCTTTTTTGGTTCTGAAGTACCGTGACGCCTGTAGAATTCAATGCAGTAGTTACACTAAAGCTTTCTGGACTGTATTCCTTTAACGTCTGACTGTGCAGACAGGTTTAAACCTTCATTAAAACTTACCTGTTCGAATGCTTGAAAGGAGCCTTAAATCCAGTCATTTTGGGAAAGGAAGAACAGGGTCCCAGACTGCGAGTTGTATTGGTTTAGTTTATTTAAATATATTGTGTCTGCCTATTACAAATGTGAAGAATAGGATGCAAGTGTCAGTGGATGATGTATTTGGTTTAGATGATGCCCTTCTCAGCCTTCTTCATACACGTTTACAAAGCTGCCTGTGTTCTTTTCAGTGCGAACAAAGAGAATTCCTTTCAGCAGAACCATATATATAGAGATAGATATATCCAGTATGACTATAGCTAACAAGAACTGCTCATTTTGTGGTGGTCCCATTTTTTTTAAGAAAGCTCTAAACAAAAGAAATCCCTGTATTCTGTTGTTCAAATTCAGAATGTTGAACCAAGTAGCTGCTTCTGGAGGATGTTAGTGAAACATGCCACTTCGTTGTTCTAACCCTTGCCTTGCTATACATTATTTGTTGTGATTGTGATTAATTTCATTTGATGATTATAGTGCAAAACAGCTAAGCAAAACCAACAACAAAAACGTCCTGCTGCTTACAAATGGCATTAATCAAAAAGTAGGAAGAAATACAACTGTTAATCTCACCCGTTTGTGAGTTTCCGGCAGCCTAATCCCAGCTCATACATGTGCTTTCATCCTCATGCCATTTTTAAAAAATTCTAACAGTTCACCTCCTGAGGGAAAAGTTGTATATATTGACAACCAACCTGCAGTATCAAATGTTTGCTCTAGTATATGTAAAACTTACAAGGCAATTATTTATTTTTTTTCTAGCTCCATGCAGGATTGCAGAAGACAACTTTTAATATGACTAATTTCTGCAGTTTGTCTCTATTTATTACCAGACATTTGCATGTAAACAGGATCTTAATTGCAGAGGAGTTCTGCTCCTGCTGCGTAAAACTACGACCCAACACTATACAGTCTTTGAGACAGCAGAGCTATTTATGTTATTTTTTTTTTGTGTGCTCTTGAAATTGCCCCAGTGAAATCACAGTTTAAGTTCTGTATACTACAAGTGACGGTGAAATAAAAAATAGTGCTTCGAATTGACTCCCACATGAAGATCTACGCATGAAGGGAGAATGGCATTTTGTACTTTTTTCTGTGGATGTCCAGCCAGATAGGTGAAAAGATGACAAATACAGATGAATCCTTTCACTGGATAAAGTAGCAAACTAGCGAATGCGCTTGTTTTCAATCTCGTATGCATTTTGCACAATGAGAGGAAAGAAGTGTCATCCCAAATAGTTTCAGTGCTGAAAAGCTGTGGAAAATTTCTATGGAAGCTAAATTTGGTATTGTTTTCAACTTGAAGTTTTCTGTTCAGAATCTGGACTTTCAGGTAGTCTAGGCCAGTGCCTTTTTTTTTTTTTTTTTTTTTTTTAGCATAGAGAAATACCTATTTATCTTGGCATTTGCAGAATTTTTTTTAGGGAGCCAAGTGTTTGATTATGCCTCTTTAAAGTAAAGGGCCCTGTTTTCTGCTTAATCTTTTCTGTTAAAGCTTCCTGCTATGATCTTGGCACTGTGTTTCTGACCCTGAATTAGATACATGTTTGTTTGTGGCATGAAAACAAGAAACTTACGTTTTGATTTGACCAATTTTCTTTTTTAACTGATTATTTTACAGTGAGTATTTTGTTACAGGTATCCAGGGCTGGGCTGCAGAAGATTCTGACTTAGGTATATTAGCACAAATATTTATTCAGAAGCTTTAAATTTGTTTGTAATTGACAGGATTTTCAGCAAATTGAAATAGCTGTCATTTCAATTAAGGTTGAGATATGTAAATAATGAGTTTGCTCAAACGTTACGCTGGTTCTGACTCTGTTTATATGCCCAAACATGATACAAATAAATGGAAAAAACCTGTGTACTAACATCTGCAAAAAAACAATGAATTTTGAATCCTCAGCATAAAAATTGTAATCCTAATCAGCTAAATACCAAGAGAAGAGCTGACCCACCTGCTGCATGTTCGCTCAACCCCTCGTACAATCCTTAAATGCAAGGAAAGATTGAAGCGGGTTTTCTTCGCAAGCGGTGAAAGAAATCTTGCAGTGAGACCTAACCTGGAACTTTTTGTCCTGTAAACACCAATTTTTGTCCGATGACTTCGCGGTGGGCTGGAGGAAGCCCCCTGCCCTTGGGTGAAGGGGCAGGGCAGGAGGCTTGTACTAGGTGATGCTTCTTCACTTTTAGTCAAGAAATTAATCCCTTTTAGCCCGTTTTACCTTATCTCTGCTCATGTACATAATTCTATTTATTGCCAAATTGATTGTTTTCTATTAAAAGTATATTTGTTACCCCCTTCCTTGGCGGTTTGTCCTGTCTCGGGAAGAGTGCTGCGGTGCGCGGCGGATTCCTTGCGGCGGGAATCCCGTCAGGGCTGGGCGGCAGTGACGGGACAGAGGCCTCTGCCCGTTCCTGCCCGTTGCGGGGCGCTGCCCGTTTTGCTGCGCCCTCCGGCC